CCATCCTGCATTAGGTGCAAATCTTTGCTTTGAGAATTCTGTTTAAGCCTTTACCCTCTGCTGCTTTAATCAACAGGAGCAGAACCAAGTTCTGAGACTGAAGTTCTCTGTGTTCCACYGGGGTTTTTTAGCTCCACATCTTCACTGGGAGCGATGCCAAGTSTGAACATCCAGGAAGAACTTGCAAGAGAGGCAACTGAGCAGTCTGCAGTAATATCAAGCAGGCAGCAAGACTCAGCAGAGCAATAAACAGATTAAAAGAAARACTCCTGCGTGACTGAGCCCTTGTACTAAACACAGTGTGGGATGCTGGGATCTAATAATGTCTAGACAACTATATCCTACATAATTTGCCTTCTTCTCTGACATGRATGCAGCCAGAAGATTTCCCAAAAGAAAATACATTAAGAGAATTTCTGGTTTCAGGTTTGCACACTCACCAGTCAAAGAACATCCAGATGAATTCTGCAAATAATCCCTACCTTGTTCTTATGGCACATATTTATTTGTGTTCATGGTTCCCCTTTTTGCTTGTTCCAGGGCTAAAGTCTTAAAAGACAAAATCTTTGTAAGAGGTTTTGATGTAATGCTGTGCATTTGTAATATGGAGCATTTATGAGTCAGTAAATCCTGTTTTAATGTACAATCAATGAGAATGTTCTTGTTCATCATCATTATTTGTCATAATTAAACAAAGATGTTGGGTGATTAAGAAGTATGGATAATGGACATTTAAAATACATTTAAAAAACAAATAGGTTTTATGTCAGTAATTTGGAATAACATCTCTTTTGGTTCTAAACAGGCGAATAAAGATTTATCTTATACAGTTCTGCTTCATGATTTTGGTATAACAAACCCTTCAACTGCAAGAATCAAATTTTGGGGTAATTGTGATAAGCAGATGTCTCGTGTTAAGAAGTCCAGGGAGTCAYATTCTCTTAGATTATTTTTGTTCAGTTTCACAACAGAAATAAAGACTGGGAAGTTTCTGACTTTTGGAAGCAGCTCCAGTTAAGRCACAGGTACAACATTCAAAATTTCTTTTTGCAAACCTCAGAAAAGCAGCACTGCATCAGTTTATTTGTGTATTTAACTCCSTGGTTTTGCCAGACCACATTTTGCTCCTGTTAGCCCAGCATCCCACCTAATGCTTTCTCAGAGTTTARACCACCATCAAATAGGAGCAGTGTGACATAACAGAAAATTTTCTTGTATTTTAGAATCCCTGTGTGTCTTTTCTTGATGCAAACAAGGAAGCTGACAGATGACAAATTCTGGATGGCATTTGAACTAAACTTCCAGCAGACTGGCAGCGACTTTATGTTTATTTTTGGTGGAATGACCTTTCCATGTGTAAAGGCTCTAGATGCTTCCTGATTAAGTTATACTTCCACATGAGAAACTTTCAGCTCAGTCGAGTTAGGTGGGAGAAGTTGATGAAGATTTTTTCTGCTTTCTCACAGCCTCCTTTTYGAATTTTGAGAAACAGGGTGTTCACCTGAAACATTAAGCTGTAACAAAATTTGCTTTTTCTTGTTTTTTTTTTGTTTGTTTCATCAATTATTACAGCCAGATTTTTAGAAGAGTTGATGGGCTCGATGAGCTACGTGAAAAAAGAGAAATTACTCTTCTGCTTTTGATCTACAGGTAAGATTTCTTCTTCTTTGTAAAAGGTAACTGATCTTAAAAGGGCATTTTGATGCAGCAAATTGATCTTTCTACACGTTTTGTCATTTTTTAAAGTTTTAAACCTTTGACAATTTTTTTTCCATTTTCTTATGAAATTTTATTTAATTAGTTTACTTTGTTCAGCTCCCATCTTGACCTGGGTCTGGTTTCCAGCTAAGTCAGGTAAAACTAAAYACATCTCATTTAGATGGAGCATTAAGTTTAGGGGGAGACTAAATATATAAAATAAACAACAAATAAATTGAGGTCAGGAATGGAAATCGTTTGGGCTTCTCTCCTGTTTGTATTYCATAATTCTGTGCTACATCCCAGTGGTGAGGAGACCTCCAAATTTTGCCMCAGATATTTCTATTGCCCACCTGAAAGCACCCGTATTTGATGAGTTATTTTAAGTCTCACTCCACCTGCTGTTCTCATAAAGGAAGACAAATCAAAAATATTAGGTTTTAAAGAGCCTCTTGTTGTTGAAATGAGGATGATGAAGAGCAAGAAAAGATTGTATTAAAGTCTCGTTTCCTTCTGCCTGCTTCCCATCAGGGCTCTGACCTCACTGTCCCACATCTTACAGCATCTCTGCTRCTCTGTGTTGTGCTGGGTGAGAACAGTTCCTCAAGGATCTCTCCCAGATTCCTTCCTTCCTGCTCCAYACCTTCWTTYYTCYTTCTGGGAAAGCAGCAGTGCYACAGGCTCCTGCCTCCCAGGGTGTYCCTATTCCTAATTCCACATTGCCCTCCTARGGCTGCTTGTGCTGCCTCCCAGATGGACCTCCACTACCCTGAAGTGATGATTAGGACCTCACATCTTTCCTGTGTCTTGATTTTCTTCATGAATCTGTAAAATGCAGATTCATGATTCTGTAGAATTGAAAAGAAAAAAAAAAAATAGAAGCGCTTTGATTTTAGAGCTGAGSTGAAGACAAGTGAGCAAACCACCTCTGCAAGATTTCACTGCCACAACACAGCTGCCAGCCTTGGGATTAAGAATAAGGCATGCAAGCTAACAATTTCCAGTAGATAAGCTGTTCTGACAGAGATAAATCAAGAGGCAAGTCCAAAACCTCTGCTCAAGTCGATGCTCAATGAAAGCTGCAGTGTTGTTGCAGTATCTGGGCAACTCTCTGGGCTCAGTCATTCAGGCAGTTTTTAACCCACCAAACAGAGCCCTTGGCCAAGCCATGGACAGCCCATTTCTCCAGGAGGATGCTGCAGGAAATGGTGTTAAACTCTTTACTAAAGTCCAGATAGACACAGGATAGACACATCCACAGCTTTTCCTCAGCCAGGGTGGGTGTGTATCCCTGCCATCAGGTTGGTCAAGCAGGTTTTGCTTTTTCCTTAAACTCATGTTAGCTGGGAGTAATCCCCCCATTAACAAATCTCAAAAAAGGTACTTGCTAATGGGAAAACATAGTTGCATAGTGGAGTTTTTTTCCAGAGAAACTCTCCTGAGTCAGTGCTATCCAACAAGCTGAATACTGCAAAAAAATCTGTCAGTCTTTAAACCCAGAAGAAAAACTGCACTCTCAGCCCATATTTGGAGAAGATTCAGTCAGTGTATAATTGCTTTATAAAGGGCTTCACTCCTAGGCTGTTGCTGTAATTAAATCTACTCTCACTTTTTGCAGGGACCTTGAGTGTCTCTGAAATGGAAACAAACCTTAGAGGATTTTTTGTTTGGGTTTATTTTTTTTTTGTTCATTTTTTGTTTGTTTGATTTGGTTTTTAATTTTGTTTGTGTTTTTGTTTTGGGGGGTTTTGTTTAGGGTTTTCTTTGTTTGGTCTGTCTTTTTTTTTTTTTTCTCTTTTGTTTTGGTTTTGGTGGGTTTTTATGTTTGTTTGTTTGATTTGGTTTTTTTTAATTGCTGCATTAGACAAAAACATTGCCAGGGACTTGGCAGTTCTGGCAGTGCTGCACTTACTGATGCTGGTCAGCACTGGGTGCCACCACACCATTCTGTCCCACAGCACCTCACCAGTCCYGCTTCATCATCTCCTGGAACTGCAGGCACTGGAAAATGTCACAACACTCAGAGAATTCCTGGGATTTGCTGCATGTGAAACAACAAAATCTTTGATGCCTGCTGGACACGTAGATTCCTTGCCTGCAGATCTCTGGCTATTCAAAATCCATCCTTAGAGAACCCAGTAATTCCTTATATATTCAAACTGCTGTGTTTTTAATACATTTTTAATAGCTATTTAAGTCACCTCTCTCTGCATCTATGTGCTAGAACAACTTCTTCCAGAAATATGTGCCTGGCAACAGTCTTGCATGTTTAAACTAACGAGAGGAAAACACTCCTGTGAGAGCAGCAGGCATGGAAATATCAAGTTTGATAACTATATAAGCAGTTTTCTCTGTGATGCTACTATTTTGGAAGAAGAAGAGTATTAAAGAATACTTGAATATTCAATGTGTACAAACTGAATTTCTTGCAGAGTGAGAGYGCCGTGATTATTCTGCAGGAGCTGCATGTGAGGATGCTCAGCCTCTGCCCCGAGGATGCTGAGCTGAGCTGTCCTTTTTCGTTTCCTCACCACAATTGGAAAAAAAAAGCCTAATTTGGCTTTTCTCGCTGAGCCCTCTAAGCATCACAGAACTCTTCAGCTTTGCCATGAGCCAATGCGGTGCCTGTGCGCAGCCAGGCTCTGGTGGTGCTAAATGGTTTTGCATTTTGGATGGTTTTTGGTTTGGGCTGGAAATACTTTAAAGACCATCTAGTCCCAACCCCCTGCCCCACACAGGAGCACCTGTCACTAGGCCAGCTTGCTGGATACACCCCGGCCATCCTTCTCCAGAGGCTGACTCTCCCCACAGTGACACATCCCGGCGTAACTCAGCTSACCGCGGCACAGGCCACACGGAATGGCCGGGATCAGCCGCGGGGCGMAGCCCATCTCGGTACCTTTCCTCCCACACACGCTGGCACCGCGCTCCAGCGCAGCTTTGGAACCTCTGTCCCGCTCCGTGGGTCCGGGTTTGGAGCTGGGTTTGGGATCGGGATCAGGACCGGGATCGGCACCGGCACCAAGCGAATCTTCCCGGGCTGCCGGCGGCCAATCGCGGCCGCCCCGGCGCGCCCCTGAGGCGCCTCTGCCGCTGGGCATGCCGGGAGCTGTAGTTTCTGTAGTTTCCTTCTGGMGRTGCCGCCGTTCTGTGCGCGGCCGKGCGAACTACAACTCCCAGCAGCCCGCGGGGCCGCGCCGCGCCGTGCCCGGCCGTGCCTACGATCCCCATCGCGCCCCGCGGCGCCGGGAAGGAGAAGAGGCTCCGGGAGCGCGCGGGGCGGCGCCTGCGCAGAACGCGGCTTCCTGAGCGTCTGGTGGCGGCCGCCATTTTGTGGTGCCGCTTCCCTCTCCCGCTCGGGATCTGCGGCCGCGGGACCTGGCGCGGGGGCGACGCGGAGCGGGGGGAGCCGGGGCCGCCCGCACCCTCCTCACCTTCCCTTCGCCTCCGTGCGCCGCCGAGCCCCTCCGGCGCTGCCCCCGGGCGCGGCTGCGGAGAGCGGCGCTCGCCCACCATCATGGAAGACGACGGGCAGCCCAGGACCCTGTGAGTGGGGAGGGGGCGGCGGGGTGGGCAGCGGGCCTGGGGCGGAGCGGGGCGGGGGCTGGGATGCGCTCCCCGGGAGCGGGGCCGGGGCCTCGAGGGGTGCCGGGGGAGCGGAGGGAGCTGAGCAGGACAGAGCGTGTGCGGCAGGGCCGGGAGCGGGGTCCGGGCAGGGGGAGCGGGAGGGGGGCGCGGCGGCCCGCGGGGAGATTGCGCTGCACCGATCCGGGGAAAACACGGCAGAACCGGAGCTGGACCTGAGGTGTAGCGGGGTCCATCTTCGGAGCCTGAGGGATCTGTCCCCCGAGGGCTGGGGGTGCAGGCGGGGGTCCCAGACAACCCCCGGGGGTACAGGCCGCCCCGGGCCCCCCCTGCACGGCGGTCCCGGCGCTGGGAAAGTTCTTTGTGCTCTCCGGCGGTGGCTGGGATGGGGAGCGCCGGGAAAGCGGGAGGGATCGCTTTTCCCTCCAGCGTGTCACGGTGTGGTTCAATAACAGGGTATCGGGCCCAGCAGAAAGAAATAAGTGTGTGTTGGCCGTGTCTCTCCGGGCTGTTTAGCYACTTGGTGGCTGTCATCTCTTTTCTGTTTAAAAATACAAATTTGAGCATTTTTTTTTTTTGGTTGCTGTTGAGTTCTTTTCAGCTCTGCAGGTATGGTTTTGATGAATTTTCTTTGTCCTGTTGGCTTAAACGAGGGAGGCTCGCACTTGTGGTTGGGCACTTGAGAGCAGGGATTTTGTGTTGCTGCTGCTGMTTTTAACCAGTTCCCAGATTTACAGTTCAGCTGCCAGGGGGTGTTTCGGGTTCAGTGAGCGGTGCAGCGTTCGGGCTGTCCCTGGGAGAAAGGCAGTCCCATTCTCGRGCTGCCCAGATGACAAACACAGCTCAGGACAGTGCAAATGAAATCTTTGTCTATTTAGCTTTTGGGACAGTAGCCTTCAGAAAAGCTCTCAAAGATATTCTGGATTGAAAGCCACTCTAAAGAAATGACTGAAACAGAGTAAAAAGTCTCATAATTCTGTTTTCACTACCAAAATGATGACTTGGCATTCAAGGCTTCTCAAGGCAGTTTGTGTTTTTTTCTTTTTTCTATGTCTACAAAAGTTCTTTTAACTTGTTGGTAGTGTAGTGTAAGTACTTAGTTCTCACTCCCTGAGATGCATAATTTAAATAAGCACATCTGAAATGCTTTTTGTGTTGATTACCCAAATGATCTGAGTTTGCTTGGCCTTGAGAGTAGACCTAGCTTTGAGTGTTGGTTTAAAATGGGAGAGAAAAGGGCAAAGTCACACAGTGTTTTACTCAGTTTTATTTTCAATGTTCCATTCTTCGTGATTAGCTCTTTTTCTTTCTTTTTGACAACTGYTATGTTCCCCCTAAGTTTTAGAATGCTCTTTTAGTGCTAACAAGTTTGGRTACCATATTGGCCATGGGCTCTTCCCAGTAACACATCCATCAATGACCTTACTTAGTCACTAACAAGGAAAAAATACATTGGTACTAAGATGTCTGAAATAGCATCTCTACAGCCGCCCAAAATGGTTTATTGCACACGTGTGACTGTTTCATTTGTTACACTAATAAACAGCATGTGCATTAATTTCCTAGTAGTTCTGTAGTAACCACAATCACAAAGGGCTGCTCTCCTGTAATTATTTAAATGCTTTTTGCATGGAAGACAAAAATCTCGCTGTAGCGTTTTTTACATTTTACTTTCTTGTCACTACTTTTTATCTGAAATATCTTTAAATTTAAGATTGCAATTTGTGTTTTAAAGRTTATGATCCTAAGCAATGCTTTTTGTATAGRGCTGTTATGATYTCAYAAATAAAACTCACTGTCCCTCAAGAACAGCTAAAAATATTGTTAGTTGAACTTCTAAGTTTTCATTGTTTGGTTTATTTGGGGAGGGGAAAGAAAACTAATGAAACAATTTGTTCTTCACTATTTGACCATGTGCAAGAGYAGTTGATTGACAGTTTAAGCAGTACTTTATGAATGTCTTAGTTTTTCAYTCCTGAAGGAATAAATGAGATCCAAAACCTGTAAGTTAGGAACGATTTTTTATTTCAGCAATTGCAGGCAAGTTTTTTTTTTACTTATAGAAAGCAAAACCTACCTAACYACTGTTCACCTAATGTTTATGCCCATCTTAAATAGCTCAGGAACAAGGATTGTTTCAGTTCAGTTTGCAGTMCTTACGGGGCTGTTATGTTGTTTCTAGTCATGATAGGTCAGTCATGAASCTTTAAGAATTCAGAATATTCTCTGAGGCTTAATATAGAAAACAGACACCATTTGCATTTTTATTTCTCATATTTCTTAACTTCATAGAAGTATGAAGAACARTCTTCCATATTTTCTGCCAAAACCTTCCAGGAAGGGGGSCYTTTT